TAGAGCACTCACTTAGCATGAGTAAGGTGCTGGGTTCAATCCTCAGCACCACATAAAAATAAAAACAAAAATAAAGGTATTGTGTCCAACTACAACTAAGAAAATATTTTTTTAAAAACCCGATAAAATCAGTTGGGTATGGTAGTCAATGCTTGTAATCCCAGCAACTCCAAAAACTGAAGCAGGAGGATAGCAAATTTGAGGCCAATCTCAGCAATTCAGCAAAATCCTATCTCAAAAAAAAAAAAATGAGGTTGGGAATGTAGCCCAGAGGTAGAGCACTGTTGGGTTCAATCTCCAATACTTACCTCCTAACACACAAAAAGATAATGTCAACAATACCGAATGTCCTTTTAGGGCAAAGGAAATTATCTGGAATTAGACAGTGGTGATGATCACACAATTTACTAAATACATTAAAAGAAAATCCAATAAACCCAAACAGATTTTTTTTTCTTTCACAGAACAAAAGAGAAGCTTACTTTTTAGTTAATTGTCCCAAGTTCAGTTGTACAAATAACAATGCTTTGTTCCTCCATTCTTTAACAATGTGGAGTCAGGGGTTTACAATTCCAATCATAATTATGGGTAAAGTTTGGTCTGGCCTAAGAAAGTTAGAAAGACTTAACTGTCTTACCATTATAATTCGATGCATCAGGATCATCCACGTTAATGGCAATGACTTTCCAGTCAGTTTCTCCTTCATCAATCATAGCCAATATGCCCAGAACTTTCACCCTGATTATTTCACCTCTTGCACATACCTGAGGGGCAATAATCACGGTCAGGACAGAATTACAGAATGGAAGTTTGAAACAAAGTTTTACTTGGGAGTAATAAGAAATAAGAAAGGTGTCAAATTTCTGCAAATTTACTTGAAGATTGTTCCCTTGAAGTAAACTTTTAAAATTATTTATTTATTTAAGTACTAGGGATTAAAACCAGAGGTACTTTACCACAGAACTATATCCCTAGCCATCTTAATTTTTACTTTGAGACAGGGTCTTGCTAAGTTGTTAAGGCTGGTCTTGAACTTGTGATCCTCCTGTCTCAGCCTCCAGAGTTGCTGGGATTATAGGTGTGCACCACCTTGTCCAGCTTGAAGCAAATTTTTAAAAGATATAAATGCTTTATCAGTCTTATTAAGGTTGAAAACAAGACCTGTTAAGTCCTGTTCTCTTATAGGTCAGAAGAAAATCAGTAACATAATTCCGGGTAATTAATACTTTTCACATTGTCTTTGTGCTGAAGAATAAGTTCACCATAATTTGTTTCAGAAACAATTTTCCTTTTTTTGAGACAGGGTCTTGCTATGTGTTTCCAGGCTGGCCTTGAATTTGTGATCCTCCTGCCTCAGCCTCCTTTGTAGCTAGGATTACTTACATGTATCATTGCAGCAGACTTAGATTGGCTTTTTTTTTTCTCTCCTTTTTGAAGTAGTGGGGTTTGAACCAAGGGCCTCTTACATGCTAGGCAAGTCTCTACCACTGAGCTATTTCCCCTTTTGAAAAAAATTTTGAGATAAGGTCTTGCTAAGTTGCCAAGGCTGGTCTTGAACCTGTGATTTTCCTGCCTTTGCCTTCAGAATTGCTGAGATTACAGGCATGTAACACTACACTTAGCTTCAGATACATCTCTTAATGTGCTTTACTAAGGCTGAGGCAGGAGGATCACAAGTCTGAGGTCAGCCTTAGCAATGTAGCAAGGCCCTAGGCAACTTGGCAAGCCCATCTCAAAATACAAAATAAAGATATGTAGCTCAGTGGTGAAGGACCCCTATTTTCAATCTCCAGTACCAATTTAAAAAAAAGAAAGAAGTAACTGTAATCAGAATTTTGAAGCAACCCTAAGAAGTAACTGTAATCAGAATTTTAGAGCAACCCTACTTAATAGAAGAATCACTATCATAAGCTTATATGGTCCATTTGGCTGTAGTCATTTCACCGATCTCTTAAAATCATTAGGTTCAGTTTGCTTTGTACTGAGATAAAATGTGCCTCTTGGTGCCCTTCACCTATTGGCTAGCTGTCCATCTCCCAGGATACTGCAGAATATCCCCTTCTTCTACATGTATGTTCAGCCACATACACATAAATACACATTTTTTTCCCAGATTAGGTTTAAATGTACAAATGGCAATGTATAAATGCTTGGAAGGAAAGAGAAACCAATCGCCAAAGAGACATCACTATTTCACTAATAGTCATATACTGTATTTACAATATTTTTTAAAGCATGAATTTTGATATATTTCGTTAATTTCATCTTAACACAGTAGAATAAAATGTCTAATTTCATTACCTTGCTTCCAATTTCACAAACATCAATTGGGTCATTGTCACCACAACAACCAGTATGTTTATCACTGTGTCCTGGGTCTTCCCAAGTCTAAAAAACAAGGATTAGGGAATAACATTCTTGTATATGTTGCTGACAAAGTGGATTATGTTGACATTAACAGATAACATCCCATAACTCTTTCTGCAAAAACATGCATCTTCAACTATTTTTTTCTCATTTTTAAAATTCTTTATTCAGTTTAAGCATCTAAATAAGATACTAAAACAGATGTGGGTAGGCAGCAATATGAAAATAGAAATGATACATTCTTATGTTAAAAGCATCATTGCTGACTATGAACCACAACTGAAAAGTTTCATCAGGATTTTCTGAAGCTTAAATTCCTGGCTTGCTTTCCTTGCTAAAAGGCAAGCCAGGACCCTTGCAGAGCACCACACAAAAGAACTGAAACCTGTGCTTGTCAGGAAGTTAGGTTTGAAATGCAACTACTGTTTTTCTTTTCTTCC